TTTTTTTTTTTTTTTTTTTTTTTTTTTTTTGCTACTCAGGTCTTAAAATACATCAGAAAATTCATGGAGGAGAGAGTCCTAATGGATGTTTGCAATGTAGTAAGTGAAGTCCTTCTATATATTGTCTCTGAAAGAATAGCGACACAACACTTCCAGAAAAATTTTGACCTTTAAAATTTGCCATGCCTCATCTATATCACAGACATGTCTCTGTCTCTAATTCTTTAGGTTTCTTTTACTCAGGATATCATTTGTGGAGCAGTGCATGGTAAATAGATAATTCTCCATTGCAGGGTCTGTTATCATTCAGAGATGTGGCTGTGGACCTCTCTCAGAAAGAATGGGAATGTCTAGACTGTGCTCAGAAGGCATTGTACATGGATGTGATGTTAGAGAATTACAACAATCTACTCTTTGTGGGTAAGAATTCTATTATTGTAGAATTCCTGATTCATCCTTTTCATTTACCTAATTTGTATATATGTAACTCTTTGAACCTAGATAACCCCAGAAATGAGGAAAATTCTGGTTACTAACATAACTTTTTAATATTGCTTTATTTACATTATTCTGTGTTTTCTAGAAGAGTAACCAATCCTATATTCTCTGTGGTCTTTTTAGCCCTCTATGTAATATAGAAAGAAAATTTCAAAGTTCAAAAATATTGACTGTTCATAGCAAGGTAATATATTGCAGAACTCATAACAATTAGAATGTTTTTATTTTGCGACTGCATTAAACTCTTCCTATTTCTGATTATAAACAATGCAAAAGGGGGCTGGAGAGATGGCTCAGAGCTTAAGAGCATTGCCTGCTCTTCCAAAGGTCCTGAGTTCAATTCCCGGCAACCACATGGTGGCTCACAACCATCTGTAATGGGGTCTGGTGCCCTCTTCTGGCCTGCAGGCATACACACAGACAGAATATTGTATACATAATAAATAAATAAATATTTTTAAAAAACAATGAAAAAGGTTTTAGAAAAAACTGCTGTTTGTGCGAATGCTGTTTTTGTTTATTTTTGAGATGTGGTTGCTATGTTTAGTTTGGTGCAGTATTATTTTTAATATTTGCACTTTGGAGGCTGAAGTGGGAGGACCTGGTGAGTTCCTTGCTAACCTGGAATTAGCTGACGTAAGTTGTACTGTGTGACTCTGTCTCAAAAACATAAGAAATAGTGAGACATTCTTCATATGATCCTTCACAGAGCTTATTTCTCAAATTCTTTACTGGTCAAACACCTGTTTGTCTTACGAACTACAAGGTACCGTGTTTAGATAAGAATGAGAAGGCTATGCATGGGACTGATGTAGATCCTCTACATGTGTATGACAGTTGTTTAGTTTGATGTGCTTTTGGGACTCTTATCAGTTGGATCAGGGCATTTATCTAATGCTTTGGCTTACTATTGGGAAGCTATTTCTCAAAATGGGCTGTGTTGTCCAGCCTTAATACAAAGGGGGGAGCTAAGTCCTACCCAAACTTAATATGTCGGTGCTTTGTTGATACCCATGGAAGGCCTGCCTCTTTGAGAACAGAAACAGAGAATGCCTTGATGGGGGGATAGACGGCAGGCAGGGAAAGGTATCAGAAAGAGAGGAGGGAATTGACACTACAGTCAGGATGTCAAATAAATGAAAAATATTGAAAGAAGAATAAAAGGAATGAGTTGGCCATTATTGGCCCTTGTGATTTGATATAAATCAGATTGGGGATTCTTTTTTTTTTTTTCTTTTTCTTTTTTCTTTTTGGTTTTTCGAGACAGGGTTTCTCTGTGGCTTTGGAGCCTGTCCTGGAACTAGCTCTGTAGACCAGGCTGGTCTCGAACTCACAGAGATCCGCCTGCCTCTGCCTTCCAAGTGCTGGGATTAAAGGCATGCACCACCACCGCCCGGCCCAGATTGGGGATTCTTATGAGCATCCATTTAATGATTATGAAGTAGAAAAGTCCTCTGTTAAAAGCTCTGTCCCTGAAAGTTACTAGTTCATATGTCATAGAAAACCTAAGAAAACATCAGTTGGTGAATCTGTTACTCATGCATTAATTGCTATTATTCACAATTGTACTAATTTTTCAGAGAACCATCACATATGTGGTAAATGTGAGAAGGTCTTACATCAAGGCACAAAGCATTTTATTCATGATCATGAAAATATGCAAGAGATGTCGTATAAATGTAATGAGCTTTGCAAGTACAGATTTAGTAACCACAGAAATGCCTCTGGTGAAACCTTAAACCTCAACAGACACAAAAATGGAAATGCTGGAGAAGAACCTTGCAAATATAAAGACTCTGTAAACTGTTTCAATCTGTGTTACATCATTAGCCAAAATCAAAGAACTCACATAGGAAAGAAAAAGCACAAAAATACCAAGTATGATAAATATTTTGATTCTAAACATAAACTTAAGCTAAAACAAACCAATAGTGGAAGGAAATCACACCAATGCTGGAAATGTGGAAAATTATTCAAGACTCACTCATCTCTCATTTGGCATCAGAGAGCACATACTGGAGAAAAAACCTATAAATGTACAAGATGCAGTAAATCCTTCCTGCATTTTTTACAACTCAAAGTACATTACAAAATCCACTGTAGAGAAAAACTCCACAAATGTTCAAAATGTGGTAAGTGCTTTTGTCACACATCAGACTTTGAAAGACATTACAAGATCCACATTAAAGAGAAACCTTACAAATGTGGTGAATGTGACAAATCCTTTCTGAGTGCCTCCTATCTTAGAATACATCAGAGAATTCATACAGGAGAGACTTACAGATGTAGTGAGTGTGACAAATGCTTTACCACAAAAGACCGTCTTAGAAATCATCAGAGAATCCACACGGGAGTGAAACCTTACAAATGTGGTGAATGTGACAAATCCTTTTTCCAGAAAGTTCATCTTATGTCTCACCAGAGAACTCATACAGGAGAGAAACCTTACAAATGTAGTGAATGTGACAAATGCTTTACCACAAAAGATCACCTTAGAATTCACCAGAGAATCCACACGGGAGAGAAGCCTTACAACTGTAGTGAGTGTGACAAAAGCTTTACAAGTGCCTCAAATCTTAGATCGCATTCAAAAAGACACACAGATGTGAAACCTTTCCGGTGTAATGAATGTGACAAAAGCTTTAAAAGTAGCTCAACTCTTAGAGTTCACCAGAGAATACATACAGGAGAGAAACCTTACAAATGTAGTGAGTGTGACAAATCCTTTACAGAGAAAGGGGCATTTAGAAACCATCAGAGAATACACACAGGAGAGAAACCGTAAAAATGTAATGAATGTGGCAGATCCTTTACTGCGAAAGGGACGTTTAAAAATCATCAGAGAACACACACAGGAGAGAAGCCTTACAAATGTAATGAATGTGACAAATCCTTTGCCAAAAAAGTGGCATTTAGCGTTCATCAGAGAAGACATACGGGAGAGAAGCCTTATAAATGTAGCAGATGTGAAAAATCTTTTGCTGGGAGAGGCAATCTTAAAACTCATCAGAGAATCCACACTGGAGAGAAACCTTACAAATGTAGTGAATGTGACAAATATTTTAACACAAAAGACAGTCTTAGAGGTCATCAGAGAACACACACAGGAGAGAAACCTTACAAGTGTAGTGAATGTGACAAGTCCTTTACCTGGGACTCATCTCTTAAAATTCATCAGAGAACACACACAGGAGAGAAACCTTACAAATGCGGTGAATGTGACAAGTCCTTTACCACCAAAGCCAGCCTTAGAACTCATCAGAGACTACATACATTACAGAAACTTTAGAATCGTGGCAAGTGTGAGAAATCCTTTTTGGTTGGTACAACTCTTAGAATATGCTCTGGAATATTTGGTCACACCTTGAAACACAAGTGTTAATACCAACCTTGGATCAGGGGCAAGAACCCAGAACTAATTGGCAAGAATTAGCTATAGAGAGTATGAAGTGGCGTGGGAGACGGATAGACGCACAGGAAAGAGTAGGGAGTGACTTGGGGCTTACAATCTTCTGAATAGAGATGGTTGAAGAGACATTCTCTTTTTGGGCCTCTGGCCAAAAAGGAAGTTAATTGGTTGCTTCTTGGGCTTTCTGAATTAGCAGGTTTTCACCCTAACATCTGACTACCAAGTCTTTGTTGGTAAATAGAAAAATAGAGATATAATTAAAAACTATGCATGGTAGCTATGGCAGAGCCAATGACAGTAGAGCCAAAAATCCCACCAAGCCACAGCCTGAGCAACAGTGTTTAATGCTGATCCATGACACTACACTCAGATACAACTGTTAAACTTATGGGAAAACATTAACACATCAAAGAATATATACTAAAGAGAAACCTTATGAATGTAATAAGTGAGAAATCCTTTACTATTTGCTCATTCATTAGAAAACAGAATTCATTCATGAGAGGAACCATTCAAGTTTAATTATCTTAGTTTGGGTTTTATGGCTCTGAAGAGACACCATAACCATGAAAATTCTTTTATTTTTATTTTTTATTTGATTTATTTTTTTAGAGAAAACAAACTATCTTTTCATTTTACATACCAATCCCAGTTTCCTCTCCTTCCTCTCCTCCCATTCCTCTACTTATCTCTCCCAACCCAATCTATTCCTCAGAGAGGGTAAGGCTCATTGTTATGGGGGAAGGTTCAAGACTTTTCCTACTATATCTAGGCTGAGCAAAGTATCTATCCAAAGAGAAAGCCAATACAAGCAGTAGGGATAAATCTTGGCAGTGGCACCCAATCCCGCAATCTGCCCCAGCCATACAACTGTTATTCATATTCAGAAGAACTAGTTTGGACCTATACTGGTTCCTTTCTTGTTCAGTTGGAGTAGGTGAGCTCCCATTAGCTCAGTTAACCTATTTCAGTGGGTGTCCCCATCATGGTCTTGACCTCTTTGCTTAAATTCTCACTCTTCCCATTGAGTGGGACGTTAGGAGCTCAGCCCAATACTCCACTGTGGGTCTCTGCTTCTGTTTCCATCAGTTGCTAAATGAAGCTTCTATGGTAACATTTAAGATATTCATCAATCTGATGACAGGGCAAGGCCAGTTTGGGTACCCTCTTCTCTGATGTTTAGGGTCTTAGCTGGGGTCATCCTTGTGGATTCCTGGGAATTTTCTCTAGTGACAGGTTTCTTGCTAGTCCCATAATGGATCCCTCAATCAAAATAACTCTTTCCTTGCTCTCATCTCTGTCCCTCCTCCGTCTTGACTATCACATTCCCTCAAGTTCTTCTCCCCTCCACCCTGCCTTCTCCACCCCCATGCTCCCAATTTTATCAGTTATCTCATCTATTTTCCCTTTCCGGGTAGTTCTATGTATGATTTTTTTTAGGGTTCACCTTGTTACAGCTTCTCTAGGATGATTAATTGTAGACTCACTATTCTTTGCTTTACAGCTAGTATTCACTCATGAGTGCGTACATACCATGTTCATCTTTCTAGGTCTGAGTTACCTCACTCGGGACTTTTTTTTTCCCCATCCATTTGCATGCAAATTTTAAGATGTCAGTATTTTTTACCACTGAGTAGTACTCTAATGTGTAAATGTGCCGCACTTTTTTCCATTCTTTGGTTGAGGGGCATCTACATTGTTTCCAGGTTCTGATTATTACAAATAATGCCGCTATGAACATATTTGAAAAGATGTCCTTTAGTATGATTGAGCATCTTTTAGGTATATGCCCAAGAATGGTATTGCTGGGTCCTGAGGTAGGTTGATATGCAAATTTCTGTGAAACTCCCATATTGATTTCCAGAGTGGTTGTACAAGTTTTCATTCCCACCAGCAATAGAGGAATGTTCCCTTTACTCCACATTCTCTCCAGCATAAGCTATCATTGGTCTTTTTGGTATTTGCTCTTCCAAAGGTCCTGAGTTCAATTCCCAGCAACCACATGGTGGCTCACAACCATCTGTAATGAGGTCCGGTGCCGCCTTCTGCCCTGCAGACATATACACAGACAGAATATTGTATACATAATAAATAAATAAATATATAAAAAGAGAAAAAAAAAAGAATTTGATTTCTTTTTTAAAAAATGATTTACTTCTCTTTATAATTCTCTATACTCTTTTTCTTCTCTTTCCCAAGCCTATGTACATTTATCCAGCACTATGACACATTTAGAGGTCTTTTTTATCTGTATCTGACTTTATTGTGCATCTGTAATCATTTTCTGACCAGAAGCATGCCTTCTTAATGCTAAGTGGTTGTGGCTAGTGCCAACATGGCCCTGCCTGCTTGCTCTACCCAGTTCAGCATGGCTGGGCTGTTGACTGCCTTTGAAAGCCATGTACATTGCTTCATTTTAAGGCACACAGCTGGTCTATGTTGCCATTAAGCAAGTTGTAGCACTGTATGCCCCATTTAAATGCTCTGCAGCCAGATGTCTCAAAAGAGTCAGAGTTGATACTGGTCTGATCAGCCCAGGAAGCCGCTGTTTCAAAAATCACACTTTTTTCTGTCTTTTTTTTTTTCTTTCTTTTTGCTATCACTGAATTAAGAAGACCTCTCTCAAAGGATCTGTGGCACACTGCCAGGAAACAGCAAGAAGCTGTGTTAAACTCTTTTTTTTTAAACTCTTTTTTTTTTTTAACTTTGTTGTTGTTTATTGACAAAATTCCTTTTCAAGCCCTTTCAGGTTTTATGTAGATTTAGCTAGCACACGTTGGAGCACCAATTTGTAGTAGGAAACTTTTCATTATTGTAGCTGTATATTAAAACTTGATATCAGGGATGGTGATGCCTCCAGAAGTTCCTTTATTGTACAGGATTGTTTTGGCTATCCTGGGTTTTTCATTTTTCCATATGGAGTTGATTATTGTTCTTTGAAGGTCTGTGAAGAACTGTGTTGATATTTTGATGGGGATTGCATTGAATCTATAGATTGCTTTTGGTAGGATTGCCATTTTTATTATGTTGATTTCAAGAACATGGGATGTCTTTCAATTTTCTGGTATCTTCAATTTTTTTTCAAAGACTTAATGTTCCTGTCAAACAAGGCTTTCACTTCTTTGGTTAGTGTTACATTTTATGTTATTTGTGGCTATTCTAAAAGGTGATGTTTCTCTGATTTCTTTCTCTGCTTCTTTATCATTTGTTTATAGGAGGACTACTGATTTTTTTTGGACTTGATCTTGTGTCTTGCCACATTACTGAAGGTATTTATCAGCTGTAGGAGTTCCCTAGTAGAGTTCTTAGGGTCACTTATGTATACTATCACATCATCTGCAAATAGCAAGGTTTGATTCTTCCTTTCCAGTTTGAATCTCCTTGATCTCCTTTTGTTGTCTTATTGCTATAGTCAGAATTTTGAGACCTATGTTGAAGAGATATGGAGAAAGTGGACAGCCTTGTCTTGTTCCTGATTTTAATGGAATTGCTTTGAGTTTCTCTCTGTTTAATTTGATGTGGGTTGTTGGGTTGCTGTATATTACTTTTATTATGTTGAGATAAGTTCTTTGTATCCCTGATCTCTCCAAGACCCTTATCATGAATTTTGTCAAATGCTTTTTCAACATATAATGAGATTATTATATTTTTTCTTTCAGTTTATTTATATGCTAGATTCCATCGATAGATTTTTTTATATGTGGAACCATCCCTGCATCTCTGGGATGAACCCAACTTGATCATGGTGGAATATTTTTTTTTGATGTGTTCTTGGATTTGGTTTGCCAGTATTATTGAGTATTTTTGCATCTGTGTTCATAAGTGAGATTGGTCTGTAATTCTCTTTCTTGGTTGAGTCTTTGTTTGGTTTTGGTATCAGGGTAACTGTAACATCTAAAAAGACTTAGGCAATGTTCCTTCTATTTCTAGTCTTTGGAACACTTGAGGAGTATAGGTATTATCTCCTCTTTGATGTTCTGGTAGGGTTTTGCAATAAAACCATCTGGCCCCATGACAGTTGTTTTAAAGGAAAACATTTTATTGGGGCTGACTTACAGTTTTATATTTAGTCTTAGAACTTTAAATCTTTGAAGGTAGAAATTGAAGAAGACACCAGAAAGTGGAAAGATCTTCCATGTTCTTGGGTAGGCAGAATTAACATAGTAAAAATGGCAATCTTACCAAAAGCAATCTACAGATTCAACACAGTGCCCAGCAAAATTCTTCAGAGACCATAAAAAAAAAAAAAAAAAAAAAAAAANAAAAAACAGTACTCAACTTCATTTGGAAAAGCAAAAAACCCAGGATAGCCAAAACAATCCTATGCAATAAAAGAACTTCTGGAGGCATCACAATCCCTGACTTCAAACTCTAATACATTTAGAGCTATAGTACTGAAAACAGCTTGGTATTGGCATAAGAACAGACAGGAGGACCGATGGAACCAAATAGAAGACCCAGATATCAATCCATACATCTTCAAACACCTGATCTTTGATAAAGAAGCAAAATATAACAAATGGGAAAAAGAAAGCATATTTAACAAGTGGTGCTGGCAAAACTGGATATCAACATGTAGAAGAATGAAAATAGACCCATATTTATCACCATGCATAATTCAAGTCCAAATGGATCAAAGACATTAAGTCCTTTCCTAAAGCCTTCTGATCTTCTGACCAGATGCCTTCTGACCTCAGCAGGCATCAATCACAAAACATATACATACATGCTGCAAAGTAGTGATATATAAAAGCTAATATAAATGATAAATGTTTTTAAAACAAAAAATATGCAAATGGGATGTGCAATATTGTTTGCCATATTGTTTCTCTGGCAATGAATCGAATAGTGTAACCTAAACGACGTCAAGATTATCCTATTTTATGTTACTGAGAGTTTGTGTGAAAGGTACTACTCAAGGAAATACAATTTACAAATTTTAAATAATAATTTTACTGTTCATTTGTCCTATGTATGTATGTAAAGAAAGAATCATTAGTTTTATTTCAGGATAATGTATAACTCCTGTATCTAACTTTGTTTCCTAATTTCTTAATTTTGATGTTTCTGTAGTTTCTTTAGATTCTATTTCTTTTTGTCAATTTTCTCATTTCCTAAAGTACTCTCAAAAGGACTTTGATAAAAATTGATTATTCCTTCTATACAGTAACAAACTTTGTATATATTGTTTTCCCATTGACTATTCCTATTGTCTCTTCACAGCATTTCTCAGTGGTTTCCTTTACAGTAATTTTAATAGATTTTGAATTTTGGTTTAACCTTCTGAAGGTTTTTGAAATCCTGTAGCTTTCTCAAATTTTCTTATCATTTTAGCATTACTTTGTTCATTTTGCATAAATGGCCAATTACTGTTGAAACAAATTGCTTACAGTCTTTAATGAAGAAAAAGCTCTTGCTGATTGTGTTCTCCTGTTTTAATAAGAACTTGCTAGCCATTTCTCAGTGTTCACATGTCATATATGTATTTTTCTGTTTTCTGTAATTGTATACATTTTGAAGAGAAATAAATGTTTCCCAGACATTGAATTCATGATTTCAGTGCCATTTTATGACACAACAGAATTTGGAGAAAGTGTTTCACTTATAGAAGTTTGTAGCACATGTTCAGTCTATCCTCTGCAGCCTCCAACCCACTTCACTTTGTACCCCTGTATGCCATATTAACAAGACTATCTGACTTGAGGCTAAAACCCAGGAACAGGCAGCCCAACAATATGTCATTTTTTAGCTATTATTTAGCCCAATAACTATGTCATTGATTGATGTATCTGTTTTCCCAATACTGTGCTGTTTTTATTACTATAGCTTTGTAGTGAAATATTCCACAGTTCTTTTATTATTCAGGTTAGTTTTGACTCTAGGTTAGTTTGTGTGTGTGTGTGTGTGTTTTTTCATATGAAGCTGAATTTTTTTTTTTTTTTTAAGATATGAGATGATGTCTGGTAATGATGGTGCATGCCTTCACTGAATTCCTTCAGAAAGTGCATGCAAGTAATTCCCAGCACTCTAGAAGAAGAGGCAGTCAGATTTCTGAGTTCAAGGTCAGCCTGGTCTACAAAGTGAGGTTCAGGATTACTATGGCAAAGAAGAACCCTGTCTTTAAAAAAAAAAAAAAAGTAGCAAAAAAATATCCATGGATAATTATGTTAGGATTTGAATCTTGGTTTGTTATTGTTGGGATGGTCGAGTTCCTTATATTATTCTAACTAATCCATGATCATGAGATATTTTCATCTTTTGAAATCTTCAATTTCTTTTTTAATGACTTGACCTTATTTTTGGTACCTTTTATTGAGTTTTATGCAATATATTTTGATGAGTTTTTACACATCCTAAATACATTGCTTATGATATGCAAATGGTTGGTACTTTACTGAATTACCTCAGGAAGTGATTGGGGCATTCTTTGATTATTCTAGTTTATTCTCATAACCATTCTTTGAATTATTTGTTTAGTATGTCATGGAATTTACTCTCACCTAAGTGCATGACTGGCATTTTGAGGCCAAATAATAAATAAAAATGCCCTATTAAAAAGAGGAAGTTAAAAAAAAAAGAACTCATTTTCTGAAGACCTGCAAATGAAATGTTTCATTCATGTGACCCTCAAATACATTTTACAACTGGGATTTCTACTATGCCAGTTCTAGGAGAATAAAAATTCATTATTATTTGACAATATGTTTTAGTTCAGTGAGTAGGAAGCTCAAATGAACCCACTTGACAGTGATTGCAGTTGTAAGTCAGTATCATTAGATCAAACTTACCTGTCCATTTCCTGTGACACATGTCTATTATATCATATCATTTATATAAGTAGAGCTGTTGACCATGTGGAAAACATTGCTAAACTTTTTTTATTTTTACCTTAAGCCCAAAACTAAGTGGGAAATTCCAAATCTGGAATATGTCATGATTTGCCTGTAGCATTTCTTTCTGGTCATAATCTCTGCTTCTCCAACAGGATTAGCAAAATGGGTCATCTTCAGAAAGGAGTTGATCTAAAAGAGAGGAAGCATTGTATAGTGCAGTGTGCCCCTAGTTACTCAGAAAATCTGATTTCATCTTATATTCTTTAATATCTCCCTCAAAATGCAAATTTCTTAGGTGTGCCAAGAAGAGAAAAGTTAATGAAAGAAAAATGACAAAATTATTGTCATATTTCTATAATTTTGATTCTTTCAAAAGAAACGAACATACACAGACACACATGTGCACACACATACACACACGACATAAATAGATGAACATGCACTGTCATACAGGCAGACATACACATACATGCCAAGACATACCTCAGAATATTTTTTTTAAAATTTTTTTCTTTTTATTTATTTATTAAAGATTTCTGTCTCTTCCCCCCAGCCGCCTCCCCTTTCCCTCCCCCTCCCCCAACCAAGTCCCCCTCCCTTGTCAGCCCAAAGAGCAATCAGGGTTCCCTGCCCTGTGGGAAGTCCGAGGACCACCCACCTCCATCCAGGTCTAGTAAGGTGAGCATCCAAACTGCCTAGGCTCCCACAAAACCAATAGGTGCAGTAGGATCAAAAACCTATTGCCATTGTTCTTGAGGTCTCAGTAGTCCTCATTGACCGCTGTGTTCAACGAGACCAGTTTTAACCCAGGCTTTTTCAGACCCAGGCCAGCTGGCCTTGGTGAGTTCCTGATAGAACATCCCCATTGTCTCAGTGTGTGGGTGCACCCCTCGCAATCCTGAGTCCCTTGCCCGTGCTCTCTCTCCTTCTGCTCCTGATTTGGACCTTGAGATTTCAGTCCGGTGCTCCAATTTGGGTCTCTGTCTTGTCTCCTTTCATCGCCTGATGAAGGTTAATATTCAGGAGGATGCCTATATGTTTTTCTTTGGGTTCTCCTTCTTATTTAGCTTCTCTAAGAACCCGAATTATAGGCTCAATGTCCTTTATTTATGGCTAGAAACCAAATATGAGTACATCCCATGTTCCTCTTTTTGGGTCTGTCTTAAACATAATCTAACAACATTAATTTTATGTGTTTATGTTTCAAACAAAAGCAAAATTTTTAACATTTCAGTTAATCCTTGCTTTTCAACTTGTTCTACCACTAACTTACTTGAGTGGTGATGGAGGAAGGTCATTGGTTAAAAAATAAAGCTGCTTGGCCCTCATAGGTTAAAACAGGTGGGAGGAGTAAACAGAACAGAATGCTGGGAGAAAGAGGAAGTGAGCTCAGAGGCCATGCTCCCCTCTCCTGGGCAGACACGATGAAGCAAGCCGCCAGGTCAGACATGCTGAATCTTTCCCGGTAAGACCGGTGCTACACAGTTTATTAGAGATGGGTTGAACGGGATATCAGAATTAGCCAGTAAGGGCTAAAGCTAATGGGCCAGGCAGTGTTTAAATGAATACCATTTGTGTGTTGTTATTTCGGGGCATAAGGTAGCCATGTGACTAGGAGCTGGGGCGGCAAGAACACAGCCCACAGCTCCTACTACAGAGTGGCATTTAGATCCTGTGACTGCTTATCTTAAAATTCTTGTTATTAATCATCTAAGGATTCACTGAAGTTGTAATCTGTGATCAGTCACTACATGTATTTTTTCAAGATCCACGGGTATGACTATAATCATTAAAATTTACTATGTAACATATCAGCATTAATATTCCATCTCAGATTGTGTTGATTTCCCTGAAGGTTTTACAGGGGAAAATGATCTATGAACAGACAAGAATGAAACTAGGCACAGTCCATTTTATTGTAACTCGTGGTGAACCAGGACTTCTAGACTCTGCTCAGACCATTTTCCTTTAGTCATATTTAAGAATAGCACAATTATTAAAAATGTATTCAGATATTGATTAATTTAGTACTAAGTGCCAAAAATTTAAGACATATTTACATTGAGATTTCTTACAAAGTACATCTGACTTCGTTCATAAGAATGGGTACTGGTAACTGAGAGATAGTGCCCAAGACTTAGGGTTTAGGGAGTTTGACTGAGGTAATGCCTATGGGTGTTAGGATTGGCCTGGCCCTAAGACAATATAGGAGTCACTTATACTCTTGAGAAGCACAAATGACCTCACTTAGAAGAGTGCAATTTATGGTCTAAAAGCAGTGCTAAAAAGTTAGAGGGAAAGGTCTTGGATAAGTAAGACCATAAATTCTGAAAGATAAGGCAGAACCTGCCCAATCAGACAGCAAAGGACAACCAGGTTGTAAAATGACATCATTGCTTCATTTCTAGCATTTCAGTAAAAGCAACTTTGCACTTCATTTTGTTTTGTTTTTATTATTATTTATTTATTTTGGGTTTTCAAGATAGGGTTTCACTGTAGCTGTCAAGCTTGTCCTGGAACTAGCTCTAGTAGACCAGGCTGGCCTCAAACTCACAGGGATCCAGCTGCCGCTGTACCACAACTGCCCAGCTGCACCTCATTTTTTTTTGAAGATGTAAGCTGTGTCTTTAACTTTATGGGCTTCTTTAGTGCTCATCTGTGTGTATAAGGCAAGCATAAGAGAATTATAAAACTATCTAAGAAAGGACCAAGGAAAAGGGAAAATGTTCATAGGCATGCGGATCATTTAAAGGTCACCTGAGAGATTTTATCTATCTCCTTGTAGAAAGCATTAATTTGAACATCAATAGTATGAGAAAAATATGACACATTAAATCAATGCATATCAGGAAATTTTTGACAATCAAGATTATGCTTGAGCAACAAATAATCTGTAGTAGCTCTATTTTGTAAAACTGTGATCTTCAGTTCTCCTATCTCTTGCTTGATCTGTGCTAATAGTTTTGCTGTGGTGTTAGTGGTTTTACTAATCAAACAGGCCATTTGAGATATTTCTCTTTGTATTTCAGTAACCGTTCCTGGAACAGGCAATAAAAGAGCAAAAGTGGCTTCAACAGTTACAGGATCTAATAGATGGAAAGAATTATCACACGTTTTAGGGAGACCTATCCTAATCCTATTGATCGGTTGCAAGAATTTACTGAGTAAAATGATTGTAAGATGCCCTATTCCATATAAGCCTTTATAAACCACAGGAAGGAGAGAATAAGTATTTTTTTTTAAGGCCCATCCCTAGCACAGTTGTTTACCAGAAAAAAAGGATAGTGGTTGGAAGTGGAATTACAATAAGTACATTCAAAGCATCAATAATGTGATAGGAAAACAACATTGACAGGAATATCAGGCCAGGCCTTGTAAATATCATTGGCAGTGAATTTTATATTATCTGCTGTTACTTATGAATGATACTTATGAGTGACTCCTATGCCATGCAAGTTTCTTTTCAACAACCTGGGAATAGATGGGTCTCTTTTGATGCAAAATGATTGTTTAACTTCCATGTATCAAATTAAGCCATAGGTTATTTTCTAGACCATTGGCAATAGATAGCATTATTTTAGATACAGATTCAATGCAATGCCCATCAAAATCCCAGCATAATTCTTCAAAGACATCAAAAGAATGGTACTCAGCTTCATATGGAAAAGCAAAAAACCCCAGGATAGCAAAAAAAAGTATTTTTAGAGTTCATGG